TTTATCTACAGAGGGAGCGAGCCCTCTTCCAATGGAGGCAGCTATGTTGAACCACCACATTTCTACAGTAGCCCAGAACAGACAAACTAAACACTGGCTGCAGATAGGGCCTTTTGAGAGTTTCACAGTCACCATAGTTTCTCCTACACACTTCACAGCCTGTTTCTCATTCCCAGGTCATAAAATACAGACGCGAGGAGTAATCAGTTAGTTGCAATCTTCAACTTCCCTGCTTGATGCCACCAAATCCTACACACTAGTCCTTTAAGCTAATAGCAACTTCAAGTTGATTGTGATGATGATGTATACAGGTGTTAAAGTCTGGATATAGTGAATGAATGATCTTTCGATTTCAGTCTACTGTCAGTCTAGTGATGAGCTGTGTGCAGCCGACAAGGGAGTGGCTTGAATAATGCACACAAAACTTCGTCAGTGCAAACTTTAAATTGCTTTATGACTAAAGTGCTTTCAGACATCCAGTAATGCTGGACCTCAGAGGAGCACGGAATGAAAGGATCTCCTCATTTACCACATTACTGCCAGCCAAGCAGGCTAGTCTTCTCCTCCGCTGGTAATGCATCCAGGACAAATTATTGATTCAGTGTCCTCTTGGGAAGCTACAACAACAATGCTCCTGGAGCTCAATGACATGAATTCACTTTAGAAGCAGTTGTGTAGTTGTTGAAACAGTAATTAAAATACTAAAATAAAAAAATGAAATAAAATGAAACTCTAATCACTAAAATGTGATCTGATCTTGTCCGGCCACAGTTAAAACCACTGCAAAGGAGGCTGCACTGGAAAAATCTACAATGCTTTGTGGCACGTGTTGAGAAAATATGCCGCGTGATAAATTGCTGCACACACTGCTCCGCCTGCTGCTTCTGAGATTGAGCTCATGTACTGTACATCAAGCGATTTTCAAAGTTCTGAAAAAAATCCATGGCTTTCATCAAATTTAAATGAATGCTTCTGTTCCATTTTTAGGACTGCTACCCCCTGGTTTCTCTTTCTTGTTGCTCTGGAGCTATTTAGGAAGCATTCTCTCTAGAGAATATCCCATGGTGCATCTCTTTGTAGATCCATAGCGGTCTCATTAGCATAACGTACCCCCCATCCGCTCCTCACATGAGGGGACTGACTCATTTGGACTTGTCACTTTTTGAAATGTCCTTTAGAACAGTATTGACAGAGTGCAAGAAAATCAATCACTACTTTGCCTTTGGTTGAGTTGGCAATGAGACATCTATTATTAAACCCCTTTACTGAAATGCCACTACATACTGTGAATGAATGAATGAATGAATGGTTTAATAAAAAAATTTGTTCACATCTCATATTGTTACACATAAGTACATATGGTAATATATATATTGTTATATTTTTGTAATCTATTAATCTGTTAATTTAACATGAAAATAAGCTCTCTAATAAAGTTATCTAGCTATTCTGTACATGCATATTTTCATATGTGCATAAATCTGCTAAGCCTAAATACACATATGACTCACCTAAATGTGTAGCTTGAAAGCCTTGATTTGGCCCGTTGCATAATAATTCCTTAAATGATGTATTTGTTGGGCTCATATGCTGCTTGTTCATGGCCACAGTGTGAGTGTGAGTTTGTGTGTGTGTGTGTGTGTGTTTGAGATAAAACAGAGGAAGAGAGGGCGGGGTAAGACAGTAGGGTGTCAGCATATGGCCAAACTTACAGCTTGAAAACTCCAGGGGACATGAGTGTTCATCCATTGGGAAGTTGTTCAGTTTAAGCTGGCACTCGGCATCGATGGTCAACCTGCAGCGACACAATATTTGGATCTACTTACTCAGTTGCTATACATTAAATGTGTATATATAGTAAAATGTATGTGTAAATCTAGATTTTGAATTATATAACACTCTATCACTAAACAATAGTCAGAATTAAACCCCTAACCTTATCAGTATAAACAGAAGGAATTAATAATTAAAATTTGACTAAACTAAATTGATGTTTTTTACAGCGACAGACCCGTCTCTCCTTTTCACACTTGAGGGAGTTTGAAGGCAAAGTCATTAAACTTCCCCTTAATGAAAGAATAACCTTAAATGACTTTACCCATCCATGCACTCGCTATTGTCATGTATCATTGTCCTCCCAATCACAGCGGTCATCCTAATTAACCAGTGGTTAAATTCTGAGTTCCTTAACAAATTAATGAAGTGGAGGGGTAGTGTTCTGCATAGCAGAACATCCATCACGGCTTGATTGAGTCCAGAAGAGTTCATTTTCTCTCTTATTATCACTAATGATATATTGTGGTGTCAGTATAAACATCTGCTGTATTTATGATGGCATGCAAAACATGATAATAAGCACAATTAATATTTCTCCTTAATTAATGTTCCTGTTCTACGCATTCCACCTGTCTCTTGTTACATCCATGGGGTTTACACTCGCAAACAGTCTGCAGCCATGTTATTATTGAGCAACCAATAATTTTACAATTAGGAGCCTTAAAAGCCGATAATTGTTTAGTTCTTCCAACCCATCAGAGCAGCAACTTCCTGGCTACTACTGTATGTTTGTCCAGTCACACGCTCTTCAATCAAGAATGGGCCATTAGACAGTATAACAATACTCATAACTAGTATAATATTAACATTTTTTAAAACAATCTTGAAAATTAAAAATGCTCCCTTTTAAGCCATATACTCCATACGAGTACAAGAGTATATGCCTAAAAACATCAGTTTAGGGCAATGTAGTCCCAGTGGTCCCTTGACACTAACAACTTCCTTCTTCATTCAGTAGGACAGAGTTCCTGCTCCCTAATTAATGTCAAATTTAAAATGCTGAAATTTAAAAGTGCCCAGGGCCTGCTCAGGATAATCAGTACCATGAATAATTTATGTAGAGAGGCCGTAAATTGTTAGGTACTTCAAAATGCTTTCGAAAGTACACACATTGCTTGCTGCATGTGCTAGATTCCAGGAAGAGCAGGAATCACGTCAGTGGCAACAATCTCATAATAATACACATACAATATTAAATGCTGCACATATGGTATCGGTTCTTAGCCCACCTTTAATCCTCAAATTGTTGAGAAGAGACTAGCTACCATGTATTCTCAATGTTTTCTATTGTTTTCAGCTTTATTCAGCTGAGAGTGCTAGGATTAATTGTTTATGCAAATAGATTTTCAATTCCCCATTATCTTAACTATCGTTCAAACATAGGAAAAGAATGCTTCTTTCTAACTAAATCTGTAATTAAAATGTCTTTAATGTTTTGGTTTAGACACTTTAACAGAAAAATAGGATACTAAATGGCAGTGATAATGATAACTGACAATTTAACCTTTCAAAGTAATGAAATAGTAGTGATAGTCAAGTAATTCTATCACACCATCAATCAGATAAATTCTAGTAACTATTCAGTTACTAATAACTCATCTCAGGCTTCCCTGACGTTTTACCTGAGGGTGTATAGTATTCGACCATCATTCCAGATTCGAAGCATGCGATTGGGCGTGGTGATCCAGTGGGCATCAGCCTTCTTCGAGTTGCGGAAGAAAGTGTCTGGGATCCAGATCTTCCCAACCATGTTGCTGTTGAGGCGCAGAACCTTCATCGTGCTGTTGAACTTTAACCTTCTGTCGTACCAGGTCTGAGCAAAAAAGATGTCGATGGTGTATTCCTGACAATAGATAAAACACGGTTTTACTGCAATTGTTATGTTTAACTTAAAAAAGCTGAACATGCTTTTTGCAAAACACTAGATAAATGTCTCTGTTTGTCAAGAAAACCTCGCAAACAGTACTGTTTGTAAGCCAGTGCTGTCACCAATGTGCAGCTTGTAACTGTGAGATTCACTGAGATCAAATTGAAATGTGGGCTACAAAAGCACTCCTTTCTTTCTTCTGTTTGAGGGGAACTTTTCTATGCCAGTGGAAACTTAATGCTGGAACACATTTGCAGGCATTATTTCCTCAGACAAGATGGTGTCTATTCAGGCCAAGAAGTCCCTTTGTCCCTGCTAAAGAGTGCTGTTGAAAAAGACCATCTTGACGCCCTCAACCTGAAAATTAAATGTTCAACGGGGCAATTAATAATTTCCCTTGTTTGGCTCAAGTATTATCTAAACTCATAACCTGCCGCCTTGGCAGCACTTTGTCCTGAGCCTGACAAAACCTTACCGCGTCCTATTCAGTCCGTGTGAGAGCTGCGTTAGAACATACATACAAGGGATGAATAGGCGAGAGAAGCACGCACAGGTTTGAAGAGCAAAGAGCGAAGGTGAGATGTGAGAGCGAAAGGAGAATTGAGAGTGACTGAGCAGGAGCTATCAGTCTCTTTTATTTATTTTTGTTATTTGGAATGGTTGAGCCCTGAGGTTCAAAGTGAAGTACAGCAGGAGAGAAAAAAAAATCTGGGGATTTGTGTGCAAGAGGGCATAGAGGCATTAACTTTCTGACAAAGCTTAGCCCAACAATAAAGCCTAAATCCTTGCCAAAGAGTCCCAAACGAGATTTGAAAAATAACATTTTCACAAGGTAACATTCCCATCCTTTCAGCATCCTTTTTTTCACAAAGGACAGACAGACAGTTCAAATCCAATGATGAAAGAAAGATTGAATGCCTTGGGATCTTCATCTGGGCCTTACTGGGGTGGGGGTAAACTTTTTTTTATTTTTTTGCTTTAACCTATATGTTGGAGTCTGACAGAATCACACTTCTTTCAATTCAAGCAGCTGTATACATCTAAGAACAGCTAATAACTGCTCAACTCTAGTGGCTACAAAGCATCAATTTATGATTATTTTTCATCTTCAAAGAAGAGAGGTTCTCTATTAGTCCCATCCCTTCTTCCTCGCACACATGAGTTGCAACTTCGCCATATTTCAAAGATTCCTAAAGCATTATAAACATTCATAATTGTGTTCAGGCTTAGATGCTCCTCACAGTTGTCATGTCATGACAAATGTCATGATTACATATGAATGTGAAACAATCAGTCATTGTTTCATGCCAGCTAAATGCCCTTGTCACACTCACACACACACACACACACACACACACACACACACGCACATGCCTGCATACAGACTCCCAATTGTGAGTAGAAACACACATTTTCTAACTGATCCCATCAGTGCTTCTCTTCCTTCACTGTGACTGCAGTTATTGAGAGTGGGTGTTTTAGCTAAGACCAAGTGAAACGGAACGCCACCACCATGTAGAGCAGACTGCTACAGAATTATAATAGAAGTGGGTTCTCAGCAGGAACGTGCAAAAGAAAACAATGACACATAAAACAATGCTGATGTGATATAATAAATTAGTAAAAAAAAATAAAAGATATAACAAAAAATACCATAACCAGTCATTGAGATACTGATAGAATCTATTATCTGGAATAATACTGACTTTTTCCACAATGGAGATTGAAGATGAGATGTTGAAACATGTTGTTAATCACAAGGTTAACCTACACATCACATGACTGCAAGGTTACTTCATTGTTCTTATATATATTACTGGAGTAGTATTCAAAGAAAAAATATTTTATTTGCACAAATACAAGAAGTGGAACCAGTACACAATTTTACTATGTAACTCTAATCATAACAACAGACAGAGATGATCAAAAGTCTAAAATAAAACTTGTCAACAAACCAAGATCCAAGGAAAATCACAAATTGGTATATTTATTTGAACAAACCACAAAGAGTATGAACAGGTGACACCTCAGATTGTAGCTGATGCAAGTCTTGGCAACTACAAAGCGAGAACATCTTTGGATTTGCCAATGCACGCAGCCATTTGGAAATATGCTGCTTTGAGATCTGGCCTGTGTTTCTAGCAACACAACTGGTTAACTTTTAATCAGTATTTCGAATTCAAACTGCTATCAGCTGCATTAAATGGACTACATTAATCCAGTTTGGTGCAAAGGCCAGTGCAGTAGTTAAGTAGCTGATTGACACCTGCCTTGTGTTGCTACACTACAAGGGCAATGGTTCAGCATAGTGATTAGGTGGACCAACCAATCCCCCATGACAGCAAGCATCTGCCCTGCTCAAGAGTGCTTGAGCAAGACACTGAATTCCTGCCAGCTCCAGAGAAGAGAGCTACTCTCTGGATCATTCACCTCCCATGAGGACAGAGGCAGGCCAGACAAAAGAATTTGGGGATAAATATTCTTATTTAGTTATATATGCAGTTTCAGGCTGATTATTAATAACAATGATGACACAGTGATAACATATTTCAGTATTACTCACCATATTGATGGCATTTACTGGACCGATGCTGTTGACAAACATGTCTGTGTGGATCACTGTCGGTTTGACTGCAAAGAAGCATAGGAAAATTTTAGAGAATGCCATGATTCATCATATCATGTACAACAAGTTTCAGCAAGTGCATCATCAATGAAGAAAAAGGGGAAATAATCTCCCTTTTGTGAATGTGTGAATACAAAGCTGTTGGGAAAGTGCTCAGCTAGCTTCCAGTGGTATATGATGTTAACCTTTGTCTAATATACACCTGATAGACAGGTGCAACATGCATCATGAATTCCTGCTCACTCGTTCAGTTGAAATGTAATCATGGGCCTTTTTCAAGCATCAAAGTCGCAATATGAAACAACAACATCTTTATACTCAAGCCACAGGATGAAACAACCAATTGAATAATCAAACCTCAGTACAAGATAGTTTTACACACAATATCAAGCTAATATTTCAAGTATAAATCGTTTCATTTAATCAATGATTAAAGTTACAGTTGTCTCAGATGTTTGTAATTTGGTGTTTGATTTTTTGATTGTTTGTTGCAGCTTCAAGTAGGCTCAAGTATAAAGATTTCATATTGTTAACTTCTGGCCTTATGCAAGTCCCTGACCTGAACACTGCATACATACGTATATTTTAAAATGCTTAAAAATACGATTTAGTTTTGTAACTACTCTTACTAAAACTACTACTACTAACAATAATAATAATAATAACAATAATAACAGTGACAATAATAATGTATCCATAATCAGAACACAGTGAGAGCAGTTTTTGGATTGAGACCTCTAACACTCAGGCAGTGTGTGTGTGATTCTTCACTTCATTTCAGGTCCAGTGTAAAAGTTAATTACATTCAGTTCACTCAGTTCGAGCAAATACAGTACTTTACCTAAATCAAATGATTCCACTTTACTTTTACGACACTGTATTCCATTATCGGGATTTTACCAGCTCTAAGATACATCAGATAGTGCTGATGAAATAGAAACCATGGGTAAGATTGTTCCTTTGTCTGCAAAGAGACTACACCGGAGTCTACAGGGCCAATTTCCTATTCAAACAGGCTTCCTGCCAGTGTCAGAGAGCCACGCACTTCGTATGTACGGCCAAACTCCTGACACATTTACCAGAATACCTTTGTGCCCTCTGTAACATCCCATCCACCCTTTTTTCTGTCCTTCCATGCTTCAGGCCTGTGAGCTCCTCTTGATAGCCAATCAGTTGCTGATGCCCTGGTGCTCCCACAGAGATTCACTTTTAGGTTAGAATTGTTAGAGTTCTTTTGACTTGACTTCATTTGAGGAAAGACTTTCGATTCTTAGCCCAAAAGAGACCACCAAATATGCCACGTAACATTAGAGCAGCAGTTACATTGGAAACTATTAGTTGTTAGTCATTTTTTAATTGAGTATAATTCCTTTTCAGTGAAGTAGTGCACACACAATTAGTTGCATGTGCACATTCATGTGTGTAAATGAATTATCTATGCTTGTGCACCTGCATGTTTACATATGTGCACCGCCATGCATTACACCTATTGGTGTCTATGCTGCCTACACCAGTTTAGTGAGGACACAGATGGATGTAAGAAAAAATGTGGCTGAGGAAACTGGACAGCCTAGTGTCAAATGGACGTCCATGCTCTGTCAGATCTTATGCTCAAGTCAGCCTGGATCAGCTTCTACACTTCGCCATCTAATGTGTATGTTTATGGATGGCTGGATGTTACATATCTGAGAGGAGAGTCAGGTTAAGACTCAACAGGCCTCGAAGGCTTGATGTGGGAGCTATAGTGAGTGTGAGAGATAGATAGAAGCAGTGAGTGCAGGTTGGCATCCATTTTTCATGTCACTCTCAGGCATACATGAGGCCCTACCCCCTCCACACACACACATTAACGTGCATGAACAAACTCTAGCATACACACTCAAACACAGAGACACAGTGCTCGTTATCGGCCGATATTTACTCAAAATAGTTTGATCAGCGGCCCCTATAAATACCGATGAGAAGATCCAATCAGATGATACATATATTATTCCACAGGAGAGAGAGATGCTATCTGGTGGACACATATTTTACTAGCACCAGGTGAAGTAACAGTTTTGTTTTTTCGATAGCCAACATCATAAACAAGCCTCCTCCACACGCGATGCACGCTGTGAAAAGAACCAAGCATACGCCGCTATGGTTTCTAAGTTGTGTATCTAAGTGAGAGAGTGGAATATGTTGCAAATGCTACCTGGCAATAAATTAATAGTTTTCAATTCATGATACTTTCCCCTTTCTTAATTTTATTTTAAGTTGTTAAGAATAGTTAAATTAATAGACCGAGTGATCTGTGATTGGTACCGGTTGATAACTGCGTCCAGCCATTAGTGATTGGCACCAAAAGCCCTGATCAGAGCACCAGTAGGTTCTACTTTATCACATATCATGTTTCACCTCACAGTGTTGCTTTTGTCCAGATATATCAGCGAGAGGCTATGAATACTAGTGCATATTACTGTATTGGCATAATTAAAATGTATGTAGCCGGAAAATGTGAAGCACGAAATATGTGACCTTGGACTAGATTATTAGTGTAATCACATATAAAGTTACAGGCATGGCATAAATAGAATTTTAATAAATACAAAGTAATTTGTCTTATTTTACGCAGCCAACTGGAAAGTGAATATCTTCTATAAATGCACAGATGCCAAGAGACATTATTCCAAGATGCCAGTGACCATAAAGTGGCTGTGCTCTGATTTCTAACTTGATGTCTGAGACAACATAATACATGCCAATACACCCACCACAGGCATCCTGGTAAAAGGCTGATTATTTCATACACTCTAACCAAATGCATTACCAACCATTTGGATCTGTTAAATAAATTCATTAAACTCATTGTACAATAACTTTATGTCCTTGCCATTGTGCTCTGCATATTTGTGAATGCTAAGAAACAATCTATTTATTTTCTAGAAGGCAACGACCTTGATCAATGCCATGGATGTATTATGAATTAGGAATTAAGGACTTTCAAATTTCCTATCTCTCCCTCTCTCCCTCCATGTCTCTGTCCTATTTGCTTCAGTTTTCATACGTACAGTAGTCTCCAGTGGCATTAAAATTAAATGAGCATCACAATGGACTTCAAAGGGAAGCTGTGGCACAATCAGCGATGAATCTAAATCCACAGCATTTCAGCGCTCTAAGAAGTGTAAGAGAAACTTCGCTTTGCCTTGCTATGGCTGGTTGGTTGATTGGTTGGTGGATCAGATGACAGTATAGCCAGCTAATTATAACCTCTCTGTAGCTGTGTAACTTGGCAGCAGCTGGAAGACCAACGCTGAGAGAGCGAGATCATAGAGCGTTTGAAGATGATGGTTAAGACGGTGGCAGCCAGCCGCCCAGCTACGCTGCAGCTCTCTGGGTTGAAGCTGCACCTCAAAGCAGATCTCAGCTGCTCTTCAATTTATAGCACAAGCCCACTTCTACAGTCTTAAGAATAAAGATGATGCCCTTCATGAAATGTGTCACATTATATGCCGCATTGTATATATTGTAGAAAAAACATAAAAGTAGCTGAATGTAACGGATTTACAATATATATACTCTGCTTTCATCTTGCGCTATCATTTCCTTCAATTCATTAGTCGTGCTTTAAAGCTGCATTAGATCAATTCCTGGCTATGGTACCTCTGGCTAGGCCATGTTTGTGGTTGGGAAGCCAGTGAGGGATTTTGCCCTTTTTGTTGCACTAGGGACGCCTACTGGTTGGCCAGAGTTCCTGCAAGGAAGGGAGTCAAATCTGGGGGGTAGCATTAACTTCTCAGTGACAGGTGTTGGTAGCATATATACTCTAAACTTAGGTAAACAGTGGAGTGTGCAGTGAAGAACACCGCAGCGCATTCCAAATTGGGAAAGTCACTGAAAAAAGGTTTAATATTATTAATCCCCAGAAATCATGTAACATCACATAAGTTAACTGATTAACTGCAGCAATATGATCACTTAAAGCTGGCTCAGTTTGTGGTCACTTGTTTTGGGAGGGATACAAAAGAGGTCAATATTGTTTTCTTTGGAAGAGGCACTTTGTTGCCGCTGTTTAGGGTGCAAGTTCCATACAGTTTTGCTTTCCCTCTTCCTGTGGGTGTACTGTACTACAAGACACAGAACTTAATTTAGGACAAACAAGACAAATGTAAAGTGTCTCAATTGTAACTCAGTGATACAGACTAATAAGATGGGGGCTTGCCATTCTTGTGCTTCTGTAATCCACTACCCAGTGTCCCTATGGTGAATGGAGAAGCAATTCACTGCTATCATATAGAGTGGTATATCTTTATTATTTTATGAGAGCATCTGACAAATTGTGGCCTAAACTAGTTTTCCCAGGAATACTGACCCATGAATCAAGTATTCAAGGGTACTGAAATCTCATTGACATGACAGGCTTTAGGATATATGTGCACTTGTGTAGACAAGGGAGACCTGCCCAGCTGTCTGTCAAAGTGAAGGAAGTAAGCTACTTGTCTACTTCTCACATTGACAAGTCAAGGATTGCAGGCTGTCATGGTCCTGCAATCCTGCCATCTCGACCATAACGCATGCGTGTACATAAACACAAGTACACATACTTTATAGTCAGTCTGTCTGCCTGTCAACACACAACACAAACACTGAATGGACACAGGCAAACGCACAGGCACCTTGTACTACCCAGCATGGTGTAATAATAAACTGTATGCTCTGCATATTAAATCATCTCCCTGTTCAATTTCTACAGCCTAAATGCAGTGAATAAGAACTGGCCATTCAGCTACAACGGGCCTACTATTTTCATTTCATGCCATTAAAAAGTCATTATTTCTTATCGTTTTACAATTTGAAGCAGAGATATTTAAATATGTATCAAGTGGCATGACTAACATTATTACTAGCTACCACTACAGGGAGTCAAGTGACAAGTAGGTCTCAATAATTAGTTAGTCATAAAGTCCCAAACTTTCATTTAGTTAAGTTTTGAGTTGTAATTTGAGTAATAATATAGTAGATTTACAGAAAAATGCATGCATCAAAATGTATTTTGTATTTATGTTTTATATTTAATTGATTATAATTTATAATGACATTCAAAAACAAACTGATCAGTTGTGCCTTGGTATGTTATTCCTGTGATTAGGTTTGGAGTTTCATAGCGTTTAATCAAATCTGAATCCAATTTCAAATCCAGACATCAGCCAATTTTCATTTTGGCCTTTTTGCAAGTAACTAACAGCATTACTGTTAACTAGCTACAGGTGATAAAATCTGCCACTGGCGATGTGCCATTTAAACCAGCAAAAAGGACAGTCACCGCCAGCTAAAGATGAGAAGCCCAAAATGCAACTTTCCCTCGTCCGTGTGCAACGTGACTGAATGCTGCCAGATTACTTTTTACATATTTACAGATTACATATTTTTTACATTTTGAGAAGATATCAAGTGATTCCAAGCTGTCAGGCTAGTGAAGTGAAGCATAACTGGTGTTTACGTGAATTGCAAGTCTTTTTTTGATAAGTCAAGTTTGAAGTCAACAGATTAATGACTTAAACGCTGTTGTTGTGTGAGAAGATAATGACTCCAGTAATGGTCGATTACATTCATTCTCACATCCTATTCTACTTGTTTAGGGAACTGTATGACCTCTTGTGCATAAAAAAATTATTTGAAAGCCTCACACAAACAAAATAGCATTGCAATCAACCAAAACACAAGGCTGTTTTCCCAGCTCCCTAAAGTTGATGTGTTTTGTACTTAGAAAAACTTGGTCTCTGTGAGTATGTGCACATTACATGTAAGTGTCACTAGATGTGTTTTTTTATAGTTAGTATAGTAAGTGTCTTCTCTCAGTTTGCACAAGTGCCTTAAGATGCAATTCCTCTAATTGCTGCTTGATTCTTGCTCCAAAAAAGGAGAA